CATTATGCTAATAAAAAAAGCCAGGCACAAAAGGCTGCATATTGCATGATTCCGTGTCTATGAATTGCCTAGAACAGGCAAATCCATACACGGGAGGAAAGTAGATTAGTCCTTGCCAGGGGCTTGGGGGAGTGGGGGGTGGAGAGTGACTGCTGATGGACGTGGGAGGTTTTTTTCTGGTAGGGGTGATGAAATGTTCTGAAATTAAGATGATGGTGGTTGCACAACACTGCAAATTTACAAAAAAGTACTGAATCGTATCCTTTAAAAGAGTGAACTTTGCCCTGGCTGGGGTAGTTTAGAGGATTGAGTGTGGGCTGCAAACCAAAGGGTTACAGGTTCCATTCCCAGTCAGGGCACGTGCCTGGGTTGCAGGCCAGATCCCCAGTAGGGGGTGGGCAAGAGGCAGCTACACACTGATATTTCTCTCCCTCTCTTTCTCCTTCCTTTCCCCTCTCTCTAAAAATAAATAAATAAAATCTTTTTAAAAAAGACTGAACTTTAACAATGGAACTGTACCTCTGAAACCTATATAATTTTATTAACCAATGTCACCCTGAAAAACTCAATAAAAAATTTAAAAAGCATTATAAAAAGAAGTGAACTTTATAGTATGTGAATTACATTCAATAAAGCTATTATTTAAAAAATAAAAAAAAGCAATGAGCACAATTGTCGGAGTTGGACGGCGTGCGAACAGGGGAAGAGAGGGAGGTGGTAGGAGGGAGGGAGGGTCCCAGCACTGGGTAGACCACTGGGGTTAGAGCAGAGAAAAATCAATGGAAATTATCTGGGAGTGTGTGTGTGTGTGAGTGCATGTGAATACACAAGGGCTTTTTAGAAATAGGGTATCTAGCTCTGGTCAGTGTGGCTCAGTTGGTTGGAGCGTCAGTCATCCTGTAGCCTAATGCTTGCTGGTTCGATTCCTGGGCAGGGCACATGCCTGTGTTGTGGGTTCAGTCCCTGGTCTGGGGAGCATAGGGGAGGTAACCAATTGATGCTTCTCTCTCAAATTGATGTTTCTCAAGGAAAAAAAAAAACAATAAAAGAATGTCCTCAGGTGATGATAATTTTAAAAAACAAAAATAAAAACAGGGTATCTAGCCCTGGCTGGTGTGGCTCAGTGGATCGAGCACTGGCTTGTGAACCAGAGGGCCACCAGTTCGATTCCCAGTCAGGGCACATACCTGGGTTGTGGGTCAGGTCCCCAGTAGGGTACGCGTGAGAGGCAACCACACATTGATGTTTCTCTCCCTCTCTTTCTCCCTCCCTTCCTCTCTCTCTCAAAATAAATAAATCAATCTTACAAAAAAAAAAAAACAACCCAGGGTATCTAATTTTAAATTTTCAGTTGCATGTTGGGCCCTTGCTCCAAATTCTCGGACATCTGGGGCATCTCTGTCACTCCTTTTCCGATGGGTTCTCGCCGCCCTTAGGTAAAACTCCTCCTACGGTGCAGAAAGACCTGAGTGCTCTGGTGCTCCCCAGCTTTTCTGACTCACTTCAGCATGACCCTCTTTGCTCTAGTCACAATGCCCTTCTCATTGGTCCTTTGGCAGGTCAGGCTAACCCCCTACTGAAGGACCTGGAATGGCCAGAAGTTCATGGCCAGCTCCCCCTCACTCAGTGAGGCCTGGCTCAAACCTCACCTACTCAAAGGCCTTCCCTGATCACCCAATTCCTACCACAACACCCTGCTTTATGTTTTTTGTAGAACTAATCAGTAGGTTTAATTCTCTTGGCTACTGATTTCTTTAATGACTTATCATCAATATTCTCTTGAAGGTAATCTCTGTGCTGTGCAAACTGAAACGTGGTCTACATCTCCTCTTGCTCTACAGCCCCGGAGCCCAGCACAACACTTGGCCTATCACACAGGTGCTCCGGAAGTGTCTGCTTGTGTGCTACTTGACAAATACTATCTGAGCACCTACTGTGTGTGACATCCTGTGCACAAAGTTGGGCACAACAGACCCAGACCCAGCCCCCCTGGGTTAGCAGAGGGTGCAGCCAAGCTGGCAGTCTCCTGAGACTCAGGGGTGAGTGGTGTCACTGGGGAGGTACAGGGAGCAGTGTGGGTTCCCAGTCCAGATAGGGAGGGAGTGGTCTTAGTGGAGGCCTCTGGAGAAAAGGAAAGCCAAGACATGAGGCTAAATAAGAGTTGACTGAGGGGAAGGAGGAGAGAGGGTGACGCCTATTCCAGGCAGAGAGAACAGCATGTGCAGAGGCTTGGTGGGAAGAGAGCCCAGACATTAGAGGAATTGAAAGTAGTTCAACCTGGCTAGATCCTGGCAGCAGGAGTGGGGAGGGATGATGCCGAAAACCCAGGCAGAGCCAGACTGTGCAGGACCTTGTAAACTGAGCTAAGGAGTTGAGGAAGAGACTGGGGGACCATAAAAGGGGTTTGAGCAGGGGAGTAGCACCATGATAAATCTCACTTAAGATGGTGAACATAGAAGACAAAGGGGTTGAGCAGGGGAGTGGCACCATCAAACTGGTAAACATGAGACAACTCTCGTGATCTGGGGAATGGGTTCCGAGACAGGAAGACAGTGAAGAAGCTGTGGTTGTGCTGCTGGTGAAAATGGGGTCCTTTCGTGGACTCACCAGAAAAGCACTCTGGGGACCCACACAGGGGAGGCTGTGGTACGATTTACTGTGGTTGAAGTGCAAGGCTGCCCCAAGTTCCCAATGTCTCATAGCTGTGTGCCCTGCCATGAAAAAAGTCCAACCTTGTCTTTATCAAGCCCTAGTACAAAGACCAGTGTCCAAACATTCTGTGCCATTTGTTCAGTCCACATTGTCCCTGTCCGGCTAGCATGGTCTGTTCTCCTGGCTGCATTCTGTCGCTGAACCCATGCTCGTGCTTGGGGTCCAAAATGTGGGGATGGAGAGATGTGCACAGACTCCAGGATGATTTGGGAAATGCAATCAGTAGGTTTTAACAGTCGATTATTTTGGGGGTGGATTGTTGGGGTTAATACCCAGGTTTCTAGCTTAAGCTAATGGTGGGGAGTGATACTCACTAAACGGGGAAATCTGGATGTAGGTGTGGGTGACAAAATTCCAAGTGGGACGGACTGAGTTTCAGGGGACTACAGGGCACGCAAGTCATCACTGGATTATTCCATGAGTTTCTCAAGAGCAAAAGCCCTGTCTTATTTAGCTGTGTGCTCCCAGTCTCACTTAGTCCTTCCACACAGACCACCAAAAGTGCTGAATAAAACCATGACCAGAACCAGCCTTAGTGACTGTCTGGAAAGCAGGTTTCAGGTAACCCCGGAGGAAGGTCTCAGGCAGCACAGGCTAGGTTAGGCTGCTCTGATAAACAACCCCCACTCTCAGTAGTTTACAACAGCAAAGATTTACTTCTCGCTCACTCTCTGTGTCCATACTGAGTCAATGAAGACTGTGCTCCAGGTGGCACTCACTTAGGGGCACAGGTTGAAGGGGAAGAACCTGATCCCTTCGTGACCAATGTCAGTGGGTATCAGGAATCTGACGTTCTAGTCCTGGGTCCACTGTACAAGCCTGAACAAGTCATTTCTCCTCTCTGAGCCTGTTTTCCCTGTCAGTAAAAAGGGACAATACTACTTCCCTCACAGAGCTGTTATGAGAGTCAAATGAGAGATCAAGAAAAGCACTTGTTTTAGATGGGAAAGGGGACCCAAGGGACGGGAAGCTGTGACACTTCCAACAAAGGAGAGGAATATTCAACCGTGGGTTTGGCTAGAATGGCTATGACCACAAGCTAAGCAGCATCTGAGTACGCTGGGTTCAGATCCAGATACTGTGGGTGGCGAGAGCATCCCTGTCCGACTCCCTGAATTCTTAAGCATTTTCACTCCTTCTTTCCCTTCAGCCCTCATCTCTTCAATGACATGGTGAGTCTCAGAGAGCTCCCTAACAAATGGAGTCAAAGCCATTACTGCCAAGAGCAGATGGAATTTGGAGCTAAAGTGTCTGCCTCCCTGTTGGCTGGGAGCCAGGACCCAGGTTTAGAGCCTGTGGGAGGCAAAAGAATGGCCCTTGAAAGATGTCCACATCCCGATCCCTGGAGCTCCTGAATGTCTTACCTTACAAGGCTAAAGGAATTATGCAGGTGTAATTTAATTAAAGACCTTGAGATAGAGAGATTATCCTGGATTATCCAGGCGAGTCTAACATAATCACAAGAAACTGAGGATGAACGAGGGAGGCAGCAGAGTCAGGAGAGGAGTTCGAGATGGTAGAAGCAGCAGTCAGAATGACGTCATTGCTGGCTGGAAGGAAGTCACGAGCAGACGTGGAATGAGGGTTGCCTCTAGGAGCTGGAAAAGGTAAGGAAACAGATTCTTCCCTAGAGCCTCCAGAAAGAACACTACTCTGCAGACACCTTGAACTTAGCCTAGTGAACTAGTTCAGACTAGTAAACTCGAGAACTGTAAGGTAATCAATTTGTGTTGTTTTTAGCCACTAAGTTTGTGGTCCTTTTGGTACAGCAGCCAAAGGGAACAAATGCAGAGCCTGGACCTGGAGGGCAGAGGCTTGACGCGAGTTTCCAGCAAGACCTCAGGGCTGAGAGAAGCTCTGGCAGGATCCCCCACTTCTCTCTGCCCCTGGAACTGCAAGTAAGGTGCCCCAAAAGCAGCCTCTGAGGAAGTCCCAGTGCTGTTTTACTCTCCCTTACCTGCCTTCCTCCTCTCAATTTTTTCTGTTCTAGTAACTCTACCACCTTGCTATATGGCTTTGAGCAGACCCCTTCGTTTTGCAGGACCTAGATTTTTCTACATGTAAAAGGAAAACAGGAATGGGCTAGGAGACCCTCTAGAGCCTTTCCAGGCCTGACACTGTGAGTCAGCATTTCCAGGATGTGATGGGCCTTCAGAGAATTCTCTGATGTTGTTGTTGAATTGCCCTCCAACCTCGAGCCTTCAGAGAGTCCTCGCCAGAGTCTCTCCTGCTGCCACAAACAATGCACTTGTGCCCAAACACTGACCTCAGTTAAAAGACAGGGGGACAATGTTTTATTGACTTGGCACCTCTGAAAGGGTGGCTATAGGCCTCCATGGTTCTTTGCTTTTGCAAGTGGAGGCTCTGTGGTGGGGGCAGCAAATATCAGAGATGCTGGTTCCAGCTGCAGGGAGGGGCCACTGTCCCGCTTTGGCCCCTCCAGTCCCCTTGTCCAGCCAAGCACCATCTGAGTCCAGGACCTCACAGAGCAGGCTAGGGCAATGACCCAGGTTCCTCTACAGCCCCAGGCAGGCTAAGGTAAAAACTACAGGCCTCTCCTGCCTTCCCTCTTCTTGGGGATCCCAAGATGGGTAGGAGAAGGGAGGTACCCCATTTTCAGAGACCCCCTGAACCTCATGGACTGGGTTGCAGGAAGGCAGGATCAGGGGTGTTGTAACTGGAGCCCCACCAAAGAGAAGAGTTAGAAGTCATTCCCTACCCCCAAGTTTCTGTTTTGGCTGAGCAGAAAGTGGGAGCTTTCACTGAATTGGGCCCACGACAGTTGATAGCAGGTGAGGTCACATAATAAGTTCATGGGATAGAGTCCGGCAGCCCCGTGCAGGACCACACCATCAGGGCAGGCTCTCTCCCAGGCAAGGGGAGGGAAGGGCTGAGTGAACTGTAGTTGATACAAGAGGAAGGCTTCCTGGAGGCGGAGGGGCAGGCCACAGTAGGTCTCCAGAATAAGTGGTCTGCAGAGTGGACTGGGTCACAATGGTCGGCACAGGACACTGGCATCCTCACTGTGATCACAGTTGTGGGCATCCCAGCGGATATGAGAGCACAGCAGAAGGGCACTCTCATCTCCACGGCACTTGACATTGTCCAAGAGGATAGGGCCTCGGCCTGGGCCAAAGTGGGCCTCTCCAGGAGCTGCCAGGGCCTGGCCACAGCCCAGCTGGTGGCACAGGACACCAGCTGCCCGCAGGTCCCAAGCATCATCACAAACAGTGCCCCACCGCTGTCCTAGGAAGAGCTCTACACGCCCCTCACATCGGTGGGCTCCATTGGCCAGACGTAGGTGCCCTGTAGGGGACAAGGCTGAGATTTGGATGGTGCTGGCCTGTGCCAGGCCACTTCCAAGCAAGGCCAGAGGAGGGGTCGAGGGAGCAGAATATTGGTCTGAGACACAGCACTGCCCTCGCAGCCACCAGACCAGGGCAGACAAATGAGATTTAAATAGGATGCACATCAGTCCAGACTCAGTCTCCAGATGACAGAACATGTACAAGCCTTTGCAGGGTGTTCTGAGCATGTCAGGTTCCGTGTCTGCTCTCTCCTTAGTCCTCCCAGTACCTCAACCCCAGGGCTACTCTCCGGAGACTGTGATTGCATCTTCTGAAGTCATCATTGCCTCCTCTCACCCGCTGGCTCGCCCAGCTAAAGAGGCGATTCTTTCATTTCTCTCCTTAGGAAAGGGACCCTATCCCCTCATTTTGATCCCATTTCTAGAAATGTCTAGATTCCTCTAGCTTAAAATCCACCTCCCTCTTTCTGGACATCATCTCTCTATTAATGAGACTCAAGACTAGCACAAAAGGACAAACGTTCCAGGACATGGTACAAATCTGCTGAGGCATCTAAACCCAGGCTGTAACCTCCTATGATTCTGGTCCTTACTATCCCGATGCCTCCACCTCCCTCTTAGGGGTTGTGGGCACCTACCGTCCCTGGGCCGAGGAGTGGGAACTCGGGTGGTCTCAGAACCATCCTGCTGGACTTGTAGTCCTAGCTCCTCTGGGCCTGGATCAGCGAAGACAAAGAAAAAGAGGTGGTTGTAACACTGAGGAACATGTTCGGTGAGGCCAGGTCACCACCTACCCTTGAAGGGAAGCCTGATTTAGGGATAAAGGACTTCACAGGGCCCTGAAGGATAACTGCCCCTTGCCCCTTGGATCAGAAATGGTGATTGTGTTTCTTTCACCAAGGCCCAAGGCAGAATCCTTTGTAGCCTACCCTTTGTAGACCTGGGGCACCAAACAGGGTGAAGATATCAATTCCTACACCAAGCAATGACTAGAAGCATTTTAAAATATATAAGACTCTACAAATACTCCTTTCCACTTGTTCCTCCCACAGCTCCCGAAAGCTGATCAACTGTCCGTTTATTAGGGCTTTGTGGGTCCTTAACTCAGCAGAGCAACAGCACCCCGGCCCCGCCCTTTACAGACTTTCAGAATTTATCCCTGGTCTTTGGTCTCTCACCTCATGCCCCGCCCCTCACTGCTGTAGGACACGCAACCTCCCGAACAGGTCCCACCCCCTCAAAGCAGAGGGCGCTCCCTTCCTGCCTCGCCCACGCCGCACAGCCACCCTGTGCCTTGAGGGACGGGCTCCGCCTCTCTGCGGAGTGCGCGTTGTCTCTGGCTCCGCCCAGGTGGCAGAACTGCAGGGAGTCCACACGCGCAGCCCCTCCCATTACTCGACAGATTCTGCCCCACCCGTCCCACGCAGCAGTGCGTGCCTACGTCCGGCCTCGCTCATTTCTCAGATCCTGCTTTGCCCCACCCAGGGCTCCGTAAGCACCCGCATACGCCCACACTGTACGGGGTTGTCTGTGCGCGGCCCCGCCCGTTTCTCAAATCCCGCTTTATCCCGTTGCACCGCGGTACTAGCCTGTGCGTGGCCCCGCCCATGCTGCTGCTTCCGGGCGGCGCAGTAGTTTCTTCCCCTTGTGCGGTCCTGCGGTGACCTTACCTGAGCAGAGCGCTCCGGCGTCTTCGTGGTGGCCACAGTTGTGCTGACCCCAGCCCAGGTGGAAGCAGTCGCTCAGGCGGGCTTCTGTGCCCGCGCAGCCCACGTTGTCCAGCAGCACTGGGCCGCGGCCGTAGCCGAAGTGTCCGAGGCCCGTGGCGCCCAGCGCAGGCCCGCATCCCGCTTCTCGGCAGGCCACGCGCGCATCCGCGAAATCCCAGTCATCGTCGCACACGGTGCCCCAGCCCCCGGCGTACATAACCTCCACGCGGCCGCGGCACGGCCCTGGGCCGCCCACTAGCCGCAGCCGCCCGCCTGCAGGGCGCACAGGCCCGTGGCCAGAGGCTGGGCTGGAGCCACCTGCTCCTGGGTGGTGCCCCAGCCCCATCCTTTCCCACCCACCATGGGATCCCTGCTCTGCCACTTACTTTTCTTCCCCGCGGCCCAGGAGGCAGTGGTGAACAGTGCTGTCTCTCTGGAAGGGAGAGCACCAAGTCTTGTAGCTGCGGAGACAGGGCTTCTAGATAAAGTATCTGAAGGGGAGGCCTCCTGGCCTACAGCAAGCACCAGGTCTCCTACTGAGATCTCCCAACTGTACCCCACGTGTACCCCACGCTTGGCCTCAACTCTGGAGTCACCATGTTGATTGGTGGGTCCTCAGTCAGGAAATTTGATTGGAATGAACCAAACCCTCTTTCCAGGTATTATCCTAATTTCAATCCCAATGATAGTTTCAGCCCTAATTTTCAAATATACTTCTTCATTCTGCCTTTACCTGAATCCTCTCACAAGGCCTCTCCATTCCCAACCTCAGCACCAACCCAAATTTACTTGAGAGATTTGAAGAAACCTCTTACTACCTTTCCCCACCTTACTGAACTTTTCAGAGGTCGGATTTCATTCTTGCTCTATCTGCTCCTCTGCTCTCTCACCCATCTCTATCATCCAGCCAAAAGCCTTTTAGTCAGGGTCCCCTTTCTATGGATCCAAATAGTCTTCTCATTTCCCAGCCCTACCCACCTTGCCCCTACTGTTCTAGCCTAGAGGCTAGCAGGCTCAGGCTGGGCTCCTTACCCTCTGGCTCTGTGTGCCAGGCCCAGTCCTCTCTTGTGGCTGAGGATGGCAGTGCTGTGAGAGTGGGGGGGCCTAGAACTAGAGCAGAAGAGAAGTGAGCAGGGTCAGAGGCCAAGGTTCTGGTTCCTGGTCAGCCTTGGGATGTCAGGAGGACAGAAGGGTTTCTCTGAAGTAGACAACAGATTTCACTTCTAGAGCTGGGGGCTTAGCCTCCGCTGAGATCCAGGAGGTCTGCCCCACTTTGACAGTGGTTGTAATTCACATATCGTACAGGTGTCCATACCACAGTTTATATAGAACTTTCAAAGACATGCTTTCCTTTCTTTTCCATGGTCTCAGAAATCCCATCTGTGTCCAAAATGGGGAGAAAAGAGGTTTTATCCACAGGGGAGGGCCATCCACAGTCCTGAAAGTCTTGCAGAACAAGACTCATTATCCCCATCCTACAGATAAAACAGGACTAGAGAGGGCAAGGGGCATGCCAGAGACCATGCAGCAAGGTCAGCTGTGACTTTGACAGGGCTCATTGCATGGCCATGGGTATGGCTCTGCCTCACTGGGCCCCAATTTGATCGTCTATAACCTGGATATGATGGCCCCTAGTTTGCTGTGAGACATGCATGGGTAAGCATTTTATGTCTTGTAGAGTGGAATCCGTCTGTGAAGTGCCATTATTGGCCCTACTACTCATATTTGCTCAGAAAACCTCTCAAAATGGGCAGGGGCAAGGTGGAGGGAAATAAAGAGCATCGGGAGTAAAGAGGGCTGTGCTAGCTGCTTCTAGGGACATACTTGGGCTACAATGGAGTATTTCTGAGGTGACTTTAGAGTTCTATTACTCTGAAATATTCCATGAAGAGTACTTAAAACATGCTGGAGAACTCCGCAGGCATTCTTGGGGTACTGCTGTAATTCTGGAGTATTATTAGTAAAGCACTATTGTAGTATTATACACTGTGGAGCTCACCACAAAGAGTACTGGGGTTTTCTGAGGCACTTCTAGAGCAGTACTGAGATATTAAAAGTAATTTCGGGGCCTTCCTGGATTACTCTGGGAAACACCCAGGTAACCACCAACGCTCTACCCGCCCCAGCCCCACTCAGGCTCCGCCCGCATCTGGGCGCAGCTTGGTCCCTCCCACCGGCCCCGCCCCGCTTGAGCTCGCACCTGCGCATAGCGCTCCAGCATCCTCGTGGTGGCCACAGTTGTGCACACCCCAGCCCAGGCTCAGGCATGACGTCAGGCGGGGCTCGCTGCCTTCACAGTGCACGTTGTCTAGCATGATGTGTCCCGTGCCATAGCCGAAGAAGGCGTTAGTGGTGGCGGCCAGTGCCTCCCCGCAGCCCAACTGGCGGCAGACCACGGTAGCATCTGGCAGTCCCCAGTCATCGTCGCACACGGTGCCCCACAGGCCGCTATGCAGGATCTCCACTCGGCCCTGACAAGGGCCCGCGCCCCCAACCAGACGCACACTGCCCTCACCTGGTGAGGGTGGGACAGGGGAGGGGGCAAGGAGCAAATCCCACAGAGCTCTGCCTCCCATCCTCTCCTAATCCAACGCACTTCTGCCCTAGGCCTGCCCCAGGCCCACCCCATACCCACATACCTAGAGTGCATGGTGCCCCAGGACCTAAAACGCTTGGAGGAGTTACTAACTCACCCTAAGGCACTGTCTTCTCACATTCCTGATTCGGTGGTTTGTGGGATCAGAGGGCAGATTGGTTTGACTGTCACTTCCTGCCTGAAAGCAACCCTCCCTGCCCTTGTCCGCCCTCTCCTAAGCGACAAGGTTGTGCTGCTTCCTCATTTAAGACTGTAGCGAAAGCCTTCTCACCTTCCCAGGTGAAGCACCAAGGACTCTTCTTCCCGCAAACCCTGCCTGATCTGTGATGGATTGGACCCTCTTCCTCTTCTGGACTTCCTGGCCTGTTTATCTGTTCCTTTTGGGGGTTACTTTTCACTTTCTTGTTCTACATTATCATCAGCATTGCTGTGCCTATCTGACTTTCCCATCAGATTAAGATCCAGTGCTCACCTCTCTCACTTTCTCCAACCTGGTGCTCTTTTTAATCATTCCACAGGAATCGATCCTCTTGCCCTATCCAGGTAAGCTGCTTAAGGGGGTACAGGGGGCATGGTGGGAGGGGGAATGACCAAACTCAACCATCATTAATCCCTCTCTTTCTGTCTTAGGGCAGGTATTGGAGACTATCCTCTGGGTCCCTTTCCTGAGACCCAGGTGGGCATGGACATTGCCCTTACTTACCATTCCCATTCCTGGGTGTTGTAGGGGGCACCATAGTGGTTAACACTTTCTTTGCTGGGCGCTGCGTGGGCAAGAACTCTGGAAAGGAAGAGAGGAGGACAAATGGACCTTTCTGGTTTTTGTCCTCACATTCACAAGTATATGAGTGACAGAGCCTGGACCCCTAAGGTACCTGAGCCCAGGGTCTCTGGCCACACAAAGGGTCAAAGCCAGGGGTACAAGAGGTGAAAGGGCCTTCTGCATCCAGAAAGCAGTAGTTCTGGAGTTCTATTAGTTCTTAAAGCAGTATCACATCACTCGAGAAAGGTAAATTGTCAGGCCCCACCCCAGATCTGCGGAACAGAAACTCTGGGATAGGGCCACCATTGGAGCCGTCTGGGGGATTTTCCTAAAAATTAAAACCACTGTTCTCAAGATCAAAGCCTCTCAGAGATTTCTGCTGCAACTCTATGCCAAGTGGACCTACAGCTAGTGTTGACCCCAATCATCTGGTTTTAAAAATGAGAAGGGGGCCTTGCTGGGACAGCCAGAGCCCTACATGGTAGGAGTAATGCTGGGTTTTGACCAACGTCACACAATGAGCCAGAAGCACCATTGGGGCCCAGGGCTTCTGACAGCCAGCCTGGGGCTCTTCCCCAGCACCATGCAGTGCAGCCACTGGCTTGGTCTTCTACATGGCACAGTGTTACCGCTGGGAAGTCCCTTCATTTATCTAGCCTTCAGCCCTGCTGTCTGACAGAGTCTGTCTGCCCTGCTACGGCACAGGGGTCTGCTCACCATCGCACAGGACAGCCACATCCTCGTAGTGAAAGCAGTTGTGGACTCCCCAACCTCGGCTGCCGCACTCGCTCAGAGCAGCTTCCTGCCCCAGGCAGTCCACGTTGTCCAGCAGGATGGGGCCTCGGCCCTGGCCAAAGGCAAGGGGCCGAGGCACAGGCAGTGCCAGGCCGCAGCCCAGCTGACGACATACCACATTGGCGTCTACCACGTCCCAGTCGTCGTCACAGACACTGCCCCAGGAGCCACCATGCAGGACCTCCAGGCGACCCCGGCAGCGGCTCGGACCCCCCACCAGCCTCAGTTCTGTGGAGAGGGTTGAGCTGGCACCAGGGGCATCCCTGGGTCCAACCTCCAGGATGCCCAGCTTTCCATGAAATTATGGGATGCTTGGGAACAGTCCTTCCTAGGTCTTATTTCTCCCTGTCTATGAAATGGGGAGACTGGCGCAATCCCTTTTGGGGCATCTAAGATAATGGAGGTCTTGTCTCTGAGCACCTGAGTACCTGGGGTCAGGACAGGGGTGGGGGAAGAAGGAGCAGGGGCACCTACCTGGAAAGGGCAGTGGGGTGGGCTGTAGGGCACTGGCTGAAACAGAGTGAGGAGAGCATTGGCCCCTCTCCCCCCTCCCTTTGCTGCCTGGCCCTGGATACACAGCCTCTCCTCCCACCACAGTCCTTACCGTCACCCCCCTCCTCTTCACTACCCTCGCTTGCCCAGTCTCATCTTCTCAGGTCCCTGACGTCCTGGTCAGTCTTGTTTCACCCCTCTCCTATTGGTCCACTGCCACCCCAGAGAGATCTGCCTAAGACAGATCTCTCAAGTGGGGTTGTTTACCCCACTCTACTGCTAAATTTCTCAGACTCCCCATTTCTTATAGGAGTCCCAGCTCTTGAGCTTTCTCTACAAAGCCTTCTATTATCTCCTGACCAGGTTCCCTTACTTCTTAATATGCCATCAATCTTGTCTGCAGGACTTTAACCACGCGGTCTCCTCTGCTTGAACAGTTCTGGCCAATTCTGCTCATCGCAGCCCATTAGAGCCTTTAAGACCCTGCTTGGAGCCCCCTCCTCCATAAAGCCTTCCTGGAGAGCTCAGCTAAAAGTGCTGTCTACTCCCTCTGAGTGCCTGGACACCACATACATGCCTTTCCGGATCGTCTGCCTAGAGATGTGGCCATGCCTGCCTCATCTTGGTGTCTCCCAGAGCCCTCTGCCCAGAGCCTGTTACTCAGCAGATGCTAGTAGCTCTGCCTTAAGTGTGCAAACTAGTTTTGGTATTCATTATGATTTATCCCTAAAGCTTTACCTAGATGAGTCCTTCTGCTTCAGCTCTCATGTATGTACATGCCAGGCACTGTGCTCACTGCTTTATGTGGCCTGGTTCATTTAATCCGGGGGTATCAAACTCATGTTCACCGGGGGCCACATCAGTCTCGAGGTTGCCTTCAAAGGGCTGAGTGTAATTTTAGGACTGTATAGATGTAACTACTCCTTAACAGGCCACAAGCAAGAATAAGCAAGAACTTGGCGCTGCCACCGGGTAGAAACAAGGTGGAGGGCTGGATTTGGCCTTGTGTTTGCCACCTGTCACTTAATCGTTAGGACAACAAGATAGGTAGGATTTTGCAGATGGGGAAACTTCAGGTTTAGTTAGGTTAGGCAACTTGCTCAAGGTCACACAACAAAGGGTGGAAGTGGTATTCCAACCGAACTAGCCACACGCTTCTTCCCCATACAGTCTGAGTATACATGGCCTGGCGGAGGGGAAGAAACAAGGACACTGGCCTAGCACGGGCAGCAAAAACTCCACAATAGTCCCCTTTTACACAGAGTGCTGTGCAGACACTTTCACAGACATTGTTTCAGAGAAACAGCAATTCTCCAAGACATGCACTAAGGAACCCATTTTATAGATGAAGAAACTGAGACCTGGTTTCTTCTTTTTTAAGTTAGGATAGTCCCTACGTTATTTGATTCCATCTATTATATCAGCTGCCTTTCCAACAGGCATAGGTGAGCCCGCCCCCTTTTCCCCCTTCCCTGTTTCCAACGTCCCTTAACTGCCCACACTCTGTGTACACTGATCCCTCATCTCTAGCACTGAACCCTCCATTTCCCCAGCTGAGACGCTTAGCTCTCATCAACCCTGGACACATGTCGGAGCTGCAAAGGATGTTGGAAACCACCTCACTTACAAACCACCTCCCACCATAATTTTAGAGCCGGGAAAGGAGAGCCAGAAAGGGACGTGGTTGGGGGTTGGGGGTTGGGGGACAGCACTCACCCAGTGGCAAAAGGAGAAGGAAGGATAGGGCTGGGGGGATGGGTGCAAGGGCTGTACTCCGGTCTCCAGGCCTCCACCCCCTGCTCTGATCTGATTGGGGACCAATTCGAATTTCTGCTTCCTGGTGTGTCCAGCCAGTCAGTGGCCTTTCTGATGGTTCCATCATGGAGCTAGGGGAGAAGTCACAGCAGGAACATCTGGAATGAAAAGCCCGAGTCACTTCTTTCAGCTGGAAGGGCCCAGTGAGAGCTTCAGTTGACAAAGTGACATTTTCACTTGAGTTTGGCATTCTGAGTGGAGGTAGCAGGAGCAACAGCTGGGAGACGGGAAGGAAGGGAGCACAGATGGACGCTGATGAGGAGTTAGGTCAGGCTGGAGCAGAGAGCATGTGAGGGCAGATGGTGGGAGATGAGGCTGGAGGGCTCTCTGGGCCCAGACCCGACAGGCCACACAGCTGGGCCCAGGGCTGAGTTCATCCTCTGGGGCAGCGCATCCCAGAGAGCGGTGTTGGTGCCCCTGGTGCAATCCACATACATTTAGGGGGTGAAAGATGAATACTTATTGTTTTATTTTCATTGCTTTTTTTTCAATGCCTTCTATTTATGGCAAAGAATTCTGGTTTTCCATTTATTAGGAACAATTTAAAGTTACTCTTTAAAGTAAATTTAAACCAGAAGAAATGAGTCAATTAAAGAAAAAACATCAAGGAAACACAGTTCCTGTGACTCACAAATACGCAAAGATGGTGAAGGGCTGGGAGAGCAAAAGCCATTCGGTACGCTCTGCCATTCGGGGATGGGAAGCCCTTGAGGATCTTGTTGTTACATTTTGGATTGAGATATACAAACAAAAAAGTACTTAAACCTTAAGTGCTGAACTCAGTGAACATTCACACTGTGTTACCAGCATACCAGAAGCACTCCTGTGCCCCCTCCCCTCACAGACTAAATGGGGGAGGGGGTTTGCTGGTGTAGGGGCTGGTTCTGTTTGGGATATATTGAGATTGCAAGGACATGGTGCCCCTTGTGGCGCTCCCCACCCCATCTCTCCCTGGCTGTGCCTTGGCCCTGGCATACAAAGAGTCTGCCTGGGGAGAGGATGAAAACCTATCTGGATGTGGGCATGGGGTTTTCAATACCCCATTCATGGGGCCCAGGACAGCCCCCAGTGGAATAATCAGCTTTTGTCTTGCCTTTGCCTGGCCTGGAGACAGCTGGGAGATGGGAGGTGAGAGATGTGAGGAGGGGGAGCCACGGTCCGATCTTTGCTGAGGGGATCCCTAGTGATCTGGCCCTGTCCTCCCTTCTCCTGGGCCTCAGGCCACCAAACTCTCAGGCAGCTGGGACACTGGCCCACAGGCCAGGTCAGCCCTTACTACGCGAGTATGGGGACACCAGCTTCTAGGGAATATGGCTGGGAATCTTCAAGTCTCCCCACTGTATCTCTGTCACCCCGGCCCAGGGGTGAGGGATAAGACCCTTGGTCCTGGTCTCTACTGATCTCAAGTCCCAGCTGACCCACGAGCTCCCAGTGGGCCTCTTGGAGCCTGCCTGCCTTCAGCTCCAAACTTGGTCCCAAGCCTGCTCCTGCCTTACTCCCTGGGAAACTTGGTCAAAGCAAGACTTAACTGTTCCCTGACCTCTTTGAACCTGGCTTTCAAAAGCACTCCTGCTCCCTCCCCACCGTTCATTAGTGCGTCTTTTGCCCTGAACTGTCCCTTTAAGTGTGGCGGAAGGCAGCAGAACACAATGGTTAGCAGCATCAGCTCCACCAACCACTAGCTGTGAAACCACACCTTGCTGAGTAAGCTTCACTGTGCTCATCTGTAAATAGGGTTAGTAACACAGTGACCTCTAACAGTTGTTGCTAGGTTAAACAAGCTAAAGTTTATAAGAGGTTTAGCCTAGTGCCTGACCCACTATTAGTGTGGTAGCTATTATTACTATTACTATCTCCCCATCTAGACTGTGAACGCTTGATGGCGGGAACCAGATCTCATTCGATAGCAGCACCTGGCCCAGCTGGGTACTCAGGAAGTGTTTACTGAATGAGTGGGTGAAGCTTAGTGCCGCAGAATCATGGAACCAAGCGGTCAGAAGGGGCCCGGGAGATCGTCAAAGACGACTTCACATCTGACCAGTGGGAAACACATCACACAGACATGCACACACCAGCAAAAGTGAAGGATTCATACCTGGGGGAATGTTCTGGGCTCTTTCTGTCCCTTCTTCAACAGTCAATCCAAGGTCAAATCACTTTTTCTGCCCCCAGAAGTTTAGGAGGGGGTAGGATCTCCCAAATGCAAATCAACACAGATCTTCCTTCTTTTCTTTCCAAAGCTGGAAGGTGAGCAGAAGCGAAATCTTTGTCCATGGAGCTGGCTGGTGGCCCCAGCCTGTCCCCGCCCGACCTTAGGGGCAGAGGGATGCAAGGGGAGAGCAGAGGAGCAGAGAACGGGCACCCAGGCAGAGGAGGAGCTGTGAGGGGAGGGGGGCCGGCTTGGACTCTCAGGGCCAGGCAGCCCCTCCTCCCCCTTCCTCCCCCCTACTCCAGGACTCAGGTTTCAGAAAGGACTGGATAGGTCTCCACCCCTGGGCTGCAGGGCAGCCAAGCATCCCTGATCTCCTGCGATGGCCCTGATTCAACCCCTTAGTCTTGTTGCCTGGGGCGTCCGTTTGACAATGCCCTGACCCACGTCCCACCCAGGGGTTTGGAAGTGTGCTCACAGGAGCCAGAGTGGTGGGCTTCCCATGTAGTTAGGGCTTCTGATTTTGCTGATGATTTTGCCTTATTGTGGTTCCTCTTGAATTCTGGTACCTTTTGGACTTTGGTAGTTAAAGGTGACAGGAAGTGGCTATTGTAGTTTGTAGCTTCAATAAAATTCTGTGCTAGAATTCTGCACCTTCTGGCTGGAACCACAGAGCTAGAGACCCCACAAGGCGGTTCCCAAACCTGACCATGCATCCCATCACCCCCAGGAACACTTAAAAAAAAAAAAAAAAAATATATATATATATATATATATATATATATATATATATATATATATATATTATTGTCCCACCACTACTGCCCCAGAGATTCTGATCCAGCAGTCCAGCAGTTCAGGGATGGGTTACCCCTAAAAGTGTGTTTCTGAAAAGCCTCTGAGGCTCAAACATGTTTGGGGACCAGGGGTCTCGCTGAAGCTGTGTGTGGTGCGGGTGGGAAGACCGAGGCCACGAGTGGAGAACAGAGACACAGCCCATGCACCTCATGGGACTTAGTTTCCTGTCTCTCATCTTGCTTCCTGCTTTTCAGAAAAAGAAAACTCTCTGATGGGAGGTCTGCCATCATCCCTTTCCCATCCCTCCTTTCCTCCTGCTTCTTCCTTCCTCCTCTGGCCTGAGGATCCAGTCCCCCTCAGTCCAGACCCCATCTCCTTCTGCCTTCTCAGGGACCTCCCTCTCTACATCTGGGTGCCTATTATATAACTTCTCTAGTTAGCTGCTCTTTCCCAACTGGATTCTTTGCTTTGAGCTTCTAAGCGTGCTCTGCTCTCTGTCATTAAAAGCAATTACGAGAAAACCCTTTCAACCTGTGTCGGTTAAGTCTTCAGGGTAGAAATGGCCAGGTGCTGGTATCCCTGTCATGCTCTGTCCCTGGCTGGGAGATGCCCTTCAGAGAAGGGTGAGGCCTTGGCTCAAATGCCGCAGTACGTCAGACTGGAGGCTGTCAGCTGACTGAATTCCACACAGTTCATCAGCAAGTTCTTCCTCCGGGGCAGGTCTGCGCAGTGAATCTGCAAGGCTGCTGCTGGACTCCACACCCCCTCCTCCTGCGAGTGCCCACCTCCCTCCTCCCCGTCACAGCCAAACTTCTCTGAAGAGCCCTCTGCACGTGTACCTCCGTTTCCTTGCCTCCCACTCACTGCTCAGCTTGCTCCAGTCTGCCTTCTGTCCTGACCACTTCATTGGGGCAACTCTTCCTAAGGTCACCAGTGACCTTCTTGTCATGAGATTCAAGGAACTAGTTTCATTCCTCGTTTTAGTTGGGCTATGAGCTCTGATAAGGTAATAGGGAGAACTTGTAGTCATCAGTTTTTTGCTGTGATACCTGCAAAACAACCCCTAAATTGCGATGGGTTAAAGCAGTGATTTTTCAGTTGGTGTGCCACAAGAATTTTTAAAACATGCAATTTCTGACTATTTAGTCAGGGGAACGGACCTCTTCGTTAGATTGTCAAATAAAAAAATGACAACAGCTAACACAACAATGGTTGTCCAGTGTGAATACATCAGAATTATTTCTATTTTTTGTCAGATGGGCAAAAGAATATAATATATTTTTTGGTGTGCCACAGAATTTTAGTAACTAGTTTATGTGTGCCGTGAGATGAAGAAGGTCGAAAATCGCTGGCTTAAGGCAACAATGACTTCCTCCCATGGTTCCGCACGTCGGCTGCGATGACTCTGTTTCGGGCTGTGAGTGAGGTTCAGGTCTGCTCCATTAGCCCCTCATCCTAGGACCCAGGAAAGGAACAGCGGTTGCCTAGGGCATCCTCGTCCTGCAGCGGAGGCAGGAACCCAGAGACCAAGCCAGGCCGCGCGAACACACCTAAGCCTCTGCTTTGGCACGATACACATCCCATCTGCTCGTGTGTCATTGTCTGAAGCAAGTCACGTGGCCAAGCCGGTGCTCTGTCAGTGGGGCAGGGGAAATACACCCCTTCCACAAAGGGGAGGAGGAGAGAAAATGAATATTTGCCGAACACTAGTATAACCTACCAGAAAATAACAGATCTAAACAATATCCAAATTTATTTTTCTCTCTTTCTTACAAGTCCTAGTAGGAGATCTAAACCTCATGGTTGTGAAGGATCCAAATTCCTTCTCTCCTGTCACTCTGCCATTCTTAACACAGGGCTTCTTGCTCACAGTCCAAGAGGGCTGCTCAGGCCTCTGCTGTCGAGTTCTATTTCAGCCTCTGCATCAGTCAGATTGGGTTGCCCCATCAAAATACCATAGACTGTGTAGCTTAAACAACAGAAAGTCATTTTCTCACAGCTCCAGAAGGTCTACAATCCAACATGAAGGTTCTGGAAGGGTTTGGTTGCTGGTGAGGACCCTCGCCCTGGCTCAGCCACCTCCTCACTGTGTCCTCATACGGGGCTGGGGACGATACTCTTTGGTGTCTCTTCTTTTTTTTAAAACAAATTTATTGATTGATTTTAGAGAGAGAGGAATATTGATTTGTTTCACTTTGCACAGTTTTCAAGATCCATCCACGTTGTAGCATCAGCACCTCATTCCTTCTTGTAGCTCGGTAACATTCCGCTGCATGTACACTGCACATGTGAGTTAATATATTCCTATTGAGAATGTATAAAGAACCCTCAAAATTCAACATGAAAACAGCAAACACTCCAGCTAGACAATGGCCAAGCCATAAAAAGAGATTTCACCAAAGGCTGTACACAGATGGCAAATGAACACACCGATAGTCAATAGCACTCTTGCTTCTAGGGAGATGCAATTTAAGACCACAGTGAGATATCACCACACACCTATCAGAATGGTTAAAATAAAAATAGTGGAAGTACCAAATGCTAACAAGGATGTGGAAAACACTGGATACATTGCTTGAGGGAATGTAAAAATAGTTCAGTCACTCTGGGAAACAGTTTGGTAGTTTTTAGAGAAACTAAACATACACTTATACAACCCAACAAATGTACTCCTGGGCATTTGACATGGACACTGGCCTGCAGTGCCCACGGTGTTATGGATGAGACATGAGACAAATTCGCACAGACTGCCGAGTCCTGTGGAGGAAAAGGGACGGCCCTCAAGGGGGGAGCGCCTCAGAACAACCTGGCCACTCTCTCAAGGGGAGAGCTCGCTGATCCTTGTCTAGACAGGCTTTTATTGGGTTTAATTGGTGCAGGAATATAGGTATAGCTCATTAGTCATTATCAGGCTATAAGGATCAAACAGTAAATAGCATACAAAGAACTATTAGGGCTTCTTCTGAGTCAGGGTCTATCAGCTTAAAGGCTACAAAACTTCGGGAAACAAACTCATTTCCTGCTCAGACCTTTATCATTTAACTAAGAGCACTCTTAACAAAACAGGCCTCACAGGATTTTACACATCCTTTCTCAGGCCTGATAACCCGGGGAACCCGCCCTTTCCAGCACAGGGCTGCACCACCCTTTGTCATTGTTTGAGGCTTAAGTCAGGCAGAGGAGGCAATATAGTCAAGGAATTACGAGAAATGAGGACTCCGGCTTTGTCAAAGCTGAGAGGCAAGGGTCCATCACCCCCTTTCTTGATAGCCCCCCAAGTCCTTCCCTGGGGCCTCCACGTGATCCTGCCTGTCTTAGGTGTTTCCCCCCTTGGGGAATCTTTCCCATCATTGGCTAAATGATCAAGCACTGGGGGCCGGAAAGCGGCCCTCCTGCCAGGGAGATAGCTTTGTCTCCTTAGTGGCTTATGGTCCAAAGGTTGCTCACTCAGCCTTAGCCATGGGGGGGGGGGGTTACAGCTCCTGAAACCAGGCAGGGGGCTCCCAACAGGCATTTGTTGCAGAGAGAGGACAACTGATGTCCACACGAAAACCTGTATAAGAATACCATAGCAGCTTAATGTGTAATAATCAAACCCTGAAAACCAGCCCTGGCTGGTGTGACTCAGTGGATTGAATGCGGGCCTTCGAACCAAAGGGTTGCTGGTTCGATTTCCAGTCAGGGCACATGGCTGGGTTGTGGGCCAGGTCCCAAGTAGGGGGTACACGAGAGGCAACCAAACATTGATGTTTTTCTCCCTCTCTTTTTCCTTTTCTTCCCCTCTGTCTATAATAGATAAATAAAATCTAAAAAAAACCCCAAAACTGAAAACCACCTAAATACCCCAAGGCAGGTAAATGGTTACAAACTATGGTACGGCCAGTGCATGGAATAATTCTCAACAATACAAAGGAACAAACTATTGGTATAGGCAACAACTTGGATGGCTCTCAAAGCCATTACACTGTGTAAAGCAAGCTGCTTAAGAGATTACACACTGTGTGATTCTATTTACATCATATTTTCAAAATGACAGAATTATAGAGATGGAAACCAGATAGTCATGTCCAGGGTTTCGGGACTGGGGAAGACAGACTGTAACTGTTAGGGGTTATCACCGGAGAGATCCTCAAGATGACAGAATGGTTCTGTACCCCGATTGCCATGCTGGTTACAGGAATCCACACGTATGATAATGTTACAGAACCACACACATGTGGTGTGTACATCCCACTGCCGGTTTTGATATTGTACCGTAATTACGTGAGATGTAACCATCCTTTGGGGGCCTCCAGATGGAGGGTGCCTGGGACTTCCCTATATATTTCTTTGCAACTTCCTGCAAATCTATAATCATTTCAAAATAAAACTATTTTTTAAAAAAAAACCTGAGCTTATTTACAAGAACAAAACAG